AACTAGGCTTTTTCAAAACTGATTTTTCAATGAAAACAGAACTGTAATCGATTACAGTCTTCTAGTAATTGATTACCACGGTTAGAATTATTATATTTTTGAATATTGGAACCGGTAATCGATTACCACCTGAATTAGTGCATTTTTCATGAAATAATGACTTTGCAAAGTTGTGTATTCATTCATGGTTCCTCTCCAAAGTATTGTCTTGATTCATAGAGGTTTGTAAGTGTGTATAAATTATGGTTTATCATTGAAAACAAATTCAAATATCATTTTCAAATATCATTCATTTACAAAATAGTTTGAAACTCAGTAAACTTTCATAAACCAGAAAAGTTTTAAAACCAAAATAGATTATGAGTATTAATTGACATACATTTGAATCGTGATACTAATAAGAATTAACAATCAAATTTTTAATGTGATTATTGTATAGCCAACATAAGTTATTTATTTCTCAATAAAAATAGTGTGACTTGTTTCACCATAGTGTTTGATAAATATCATCATAGTGTTTTGTGATTGTGAAAAAGTTTCTGAGTCGAAGTGATTCAAAGTCCATCATAAAGTTTGGTGTTTGTTTTGCAAACAAGAGAGTGTTGTGTTTTCTTGTTTTTTTTATAGGTGTTTCTTTAGAGTGTTTAGTATGAGACTTGTAAAGAGCATTTGATCATAGCGGGAAATCGTCTAAAAGAATAGAGGACTAAATGTACCCTTAAATTGGTAAGGGAAGCTAGTATAAATTTTTGTGTTCTTTATTTTATGCACTTTAAGTTTTGCATTTGACCTTCTTCCTAATTAATATTCATATTATCGCTTCTGATACTTTAACAAGTTAAAAAACTTAGGTCAAAAACGAGAAAAGTCCAACAATCATAATTCATCCCTCCCCCCTCCTCTCTTAAATTGCATCTCATAGTTACATCTAAAATATTTAGAAGTATATATTTTAAAAGATTGTTGTTGTTCATTCATCATCATCGGCTAATAAAGACTTCCATGACAAGTACAAATTGTGAGAATTGAAGTCAAGATATGGTGGATGCCTGTCAGAGCACTTTAATAAATTTTACAGAAGATAAGAAATAAAAAGACATGTGACTGTTGAATTGTAATTGAATTTCTAGAGTAAGGCTTGTGACAAAGCAACTTACTTGGTTTGCAAGTGTCATTTATAATAATACAATTCCAAACACTTATGAAATTTTAGAGTAAGAACACAATAATTTAATTGATTTTGAAAGTCGCCGTAGCCTTGTCTATTGTATAAATCAAGATAATTCAACTTGATAGTAAATTTTTAAGTTATGTCTTCAATAGCTGACCAAGAAGTAGGAAGAGTTATGAGTCCAAGAGGTAGGAAGAGAAATGGAAACGGGAGGATCAAAGCTTTTTATATACTTTTTATTTTATCTTTGAAAAATGTTGTTTTATGCTTAAGAAAATTCTATAAACGGCCTAGTCAGTGAGTAATTAAAACAAAAGAAGAAATGCAGTCGGCATTTTGCCATTTAATAGAGTTTTGAATTTGTAAAATAGTAAAAATAATGGTTTTAAAATATAATGGTTTTAAAATATAGACTGTTTGATTGAGATCAAATGGACACTGTGGATTTATTCTTTTCCAACTCTAGTGAATTAAACTTTTTTCAACAATGCCACCGTCTGAAACGAAATGTCTAAAATGCTACACATAGAGGGTTCACGCCATTTCAAATGGCGCAAAAGTGAGACCCAGTTGACAGCATAAAGACTCTCGCCATTTGAAATGGCATGAAAGGTTTTTTTTTTTTAAATTTATTTTCTGAATTTTCTTTATTTATATTAATTATTTTTATTATTTAATTTTATTATTAATTATAAATAATTTAATAAATTATTTAATTATAAAATTAATTAATAAAATATTAATTTAAAAAATTAAAAAATTATAAATTAACAATTATAATTAAATAATAAAAATTATCATTAAGTAATAAAATTTAACAATTACAATCAAATTACTAAATAAAAAAATACATTTAAAAGTAGTTATAAATAACAATACATGGATAAAATATGGATAAAATTAATTAGAAGGGACTGCATTATTGAGGCGATGCGGACATTTTTTGTGCATGTGTGGTTGTTGACAGATTCTGCATCGTCTTTTTATTTTCTCAACAATGTCCATTTCAGTTCTAATGCGAGTACTGTTCGGGCAACCTTTTTTGTTTCGTCGCATCCTTTCATCATGCAAAAGAGTATCGCCCAAATATGGAGGCCAACTATTTTCTTGGCGAACACCGACGAAACTTTGAATGTAAACTTTGAAGACGTTTTTAACTCTATACAAATCAGGAACAAACGTAGTATAGTCGTGGTTAATGTGAGAACACGCCGTGATAGCATGTGAGCAAGGCAAATGAAAAGTTTAAAATTTCCCACGGTCACAAGTTCGTGTTTGGAGGTTGACGTTGAAATGAGTAAGTGGCCGACAATTCCTATTATTAACCGTCTCTTAGACCACGAAATAGTGACTTTCACTGTAAAAAGCTAAGACATTATAACTGTGGGATTTTTCTACTTCTTCTGCAATTCCTTTCATACAGTTATCTGTGAATTCCTTTCCCGATGACAAAAAATTTGTCCAATCCTTTCCTCGTTTCCCCCACAATGTTTCCATCTTGTAGTATGTTGATCTTACAAGTGATGTAATAGGTAGGTTGCGGGTTTCCTTCAATACTGAGTTCAAAGATTCAGCAAGGTTGGTTGTCATGTGACTCTATTGTGCTCCTCCGTCGTAAGCTCGCGACTATTTTTCTCTTGGAAGGTTCTCTATTCAATTGAAAGCCTTTGTGTTTGTTTAGCGGATCTCCTTCCGATAGTATGCTTATATAGACTCATTAAGTGCATATCATGCATATAAGCATTAAAAACATTAATATAAAACAACTATATATTTAAATACCATGTTAAAAATTAGAGAATAAATTACTCATGTTAACAACTGTCTTGCGAAGGTTTTTGTCCTTGATGGATCGCATGAAGTTTTGTGTGATGTGCCTAATACAATACACATGCATCGAGGGTGGGTTCTGCCAGCCATTGTCTGGGTTATTGTAGGCACTCTTAATAGACTCATGTCGATCAGATATCAAACATAAGCCTGACTGGGGTGTGACGTGGAGTCTCAAAATTTTCAGAAAGAAACTCCAAGCCCCCCGGTCTCACCTTCGACTAATGCATATGCGATTGATAAAATGTTACCATTTCCATCTTGTGCAATTTTCTATACAGTCATGTACCATCTACCTGCACTATAGGTTTTCGATGTGCGAAACCCCTAATACAAGGTTGAAAGGCCCAAAAAAGCTATGGAAAATTCTTGCACCACCAATTTGTGTTCCTTCATTTGAATATACAGGAAGTGTTTCAAGATCTATGACGGTACCTGGGAGAAATTGTTGCATGACTAGCCACCAATTTGTGTTCCTTCCAATTGTCATAAATATCTTCGATTCCTTTGTTCTTTGCAATCCATTCCTTTCTGTAAGATACGGTGTAGCCATAAGTCGTACGAATATAAGCAATAATATGTCTAACCTTGATTGTCGCATCACTATCGACAAGAGATCTGATGTTATGGGCGATCATATTTAAGGTAAGCTTTTGGTGATCTTGAGATATAGCAGTCGACATGCAAGTGTGTGGCCCTCCAATTCTGCCAATAACTCATTGACCACACCCATCCCTTAACGAAGCTCTACACCTCCTTTTTACATTTAATTAAATATCGTGTCGGATCAGAAAGTATAAGAATTTTTTATGTGATACTCAGACGTATGGAGACATGCTTCTTTATTTTCAAACGCCATACCAAGTCTTCACGTGCTAAACAAATTAATTTGCCTGACATCGTCAAATAATGGCTCGTTATGTTGTGCTTGGACAGACTCTTCTTGTAGCGAGGCTTGACTTTGTTGATATGCATGAATTTGTGATGATTGCGTTGGATATACTTCCTGCACATGTTGAAACTCTATTGTTTGTTGACTGCAAAACCTTGAGCGGTACATCAAACAATAGAGTTTAATTTAAATTTATAATTAAAATTGTTAGAATATTTTAAAATAAAATTTAATTTTAAATTCTTTTAAATTATGATTTTGGATCATCAATATTAAATATTATAATTGTTAAATTTTATTACTTAATAATAATTTTTATTATTTAATTGTAATTGTTAATTTTTAAATTTTTAAATTTTTAATTTTTTTATTAATTAATTTTATAATTAAATAGTTTATTAAATTATTTATAATTAATAATGAAATTAAATAATAAAAATAATTAATATAAATAAAAAAATTCAAAAAACGAATCTGAGTCTCACTTTTGTGCCATTTAAAATACCGGCATTGATGAAAAATTGTTTCAACAGGGGTGGCATTGAAGTTCCCATTAATGATCATGGCAGAGACCTGTACTAAAGAGTAAACTATGTACTGTTGGAAGGGAACATTTGAGACCGTATTTCCCAGCTTTAAATTCCTCAGGAGTCAGGACGGTGTATTAAAATCACTGTTTACTCATAAATGAAACATATGCAGGATTCATGTCAACGATATACCCATCTTTATAAACAAACTCCCATAAACAAAAAACAAACTTAAGAGTTTACATTCGCAAAGGTCAAACATAAAATTCATAAACAAAATTTGAGCCACAACATGGAGCCATTACAAGAGAAATACATAAGGTTTCATTTTTGCTTCTCGAGCATACAGTTAATAGTCGAGTCTGAACTTCGAAATGAAAACTCCCTTTGGGAAAACCAAGGTTCATAAATTAAAAAATAAAAACCTCTGCAGCTTGACCCGAATACAATATGATGCAGCCAACAAAATTTGTACTGGAAAATAATAAGGTGGGTGTTCTCTTCACTACAATCTCAGTGTTTCACAAATCAATGATTGCTGCAGGAACCCCACAGACAATAGAAAGGTATTTTGAAGTCATATCCTAAATGGAGGGTTCCTTGAGCTAGAATGGTTCAACTTTGCCCTTTTATTAGATTTCTCTGCGCTAGAATGGTTCAACTTTGCCCTTTTATTAGATTTCTCTGCGCTAAAATGGTTCAGCATTGGCCTTTTATTAGATTTCTCGATAGCAGCTTGTTGGAAAATATTAGGTCCGTCAAAACTCTGCTTCAAAACCCTTACCTTCTTCCTCCTCCCCGAATCATAATCCTCATCCCTGTAAATATTGAGGTGGCAAGATACAAATTAATAAATTTACAGTTATTCATCAAAATAGTCTTAGTCACAATATGTGATACATTGCTATAAACAGCTCGAAGTTAATAGTCACCGGTAAGAAGGCACAATAACATGAAATGCATATTTTATTCTTGTATCTGGACAAAAACGTGCCCATGATTAGTAATAGCCAGTGTTATCAACGGTAGATGACACTCGGTCTGTGGGGGAAGAGCCAAAGCAGAAACCCTGCAATAACACCCAGCATATGGTGCCACCATATGGCGCATCATCCTGTAAATATCTGGCTACTGCAGAGACCTAAATCTTGCCACCAATATCCGCCATGGCCGATATTTGAATTTTGACAACACTGGTAGTAAGTGATTATCTTCACAAAAATTGAGAAAGAAATATGTTTGAAAATAAACATGTAATATAAAACAAGGGAAATTAACATTTACTACATCTCTCCTGAGAGAGAATAAATAAGTTCCAAGCCATTGCCTTCAAAAATTATTCAAGCATTTAACTGGTACGACAAAGGAACACAAAAACTATAACAGGACAAATAACTTAAATAGTAAACAAGGAAGAAAAGAACCATATATATTAAGCTCACCATTCATCCCCAACATATCCGATACGGGCACTCTGGTCATTCTTTGACTCCAAAGGCTGAGATGAAGGTAATCCCATATCATCCCAACGGGCAACTGTATCCAAAGAGAACACGTGTTATATACCGCGCATAAAAGTGCCGGTATTCAAAATTCACTGAGCAAAAAAAGAATAATACAAATATGAAAACATAAGATAACAAATAGAGCTAGTCTAATGAAATGAAGGGTTGATATTCCAACGCATTTTCAATGTAGAGTATCTATTTAGTGTTTATTCCTATAACTACTCACAAGAAAACCCTAACATATTGATGGCACAAGATCACTATAATTAGTGCATTGTGTATGAACGGCGCCACTATACCCATCCTTTTAACCCAAGGGATTAGTCAACTAGCATGAATATGCAATCCATACCTACTAGACTATGGCATACAGAAACATCCTGAAATATATAACAAGTATTTGACAAAACCAGTATATGCTATTTTTAGGTCAAGTTGAATGAAATACATAAACACACTAAATATGCAAGCAGATGTGTGTTTAATTGATAATAATATTTAAGTCATGTCACAAGGCAGCCCACCAACAACTATGCAGCTCAATCAGCCAGACTAGAACTAACAAACAAAACTACAAAGATGTGGAACACAAACTTGGCATTGTGCCAAACAAATTTGAATAGAAAAAGTTAGTCGAGTCATACCAACTGTTTCCTCTAGACCTCGAGTGAGCATCGTCATGACACTATTATGCATTTGATCTCCTGTATCATCCTGTAGACTAATAGCTTGTCCAGCTTTAAATTTATTTGCCACTAAACCTGGGGACATATTTTCTACTTTCGTAACTGATGCAAGCACAGCAAAGTTCTGGTCTATCCTCTTCTTAAACTCTACTTCAGCATTATTTTCTATTAGAGGTGCATCATTAGATTTAATGTTATCGACAGGTATATGGGAAGGCTTAGTTGGTTTACTTTCAGAAGACGGAAGTAAATGTGTTTTTCCAGATGTAGATGGTCCAACTTCTGATAATATAGCATGTTTATTCCGCTTTTCTTTACTGCAATACTTCAAACCCAACAAGCGGCGTTTACATTTTTTGTGATTCTTCCTCCGCAGGCCAATATTTGCAATAAAATGTATGATTGGGCGAAGTTGCAAGTTTGATCCCTGGTACTTCGGAAACTTCTTTTTTGATTTTTTCGCTTGCTTTTCATTAAGACTCAAGTCCTTAAAGGATATATTGGATGAACCTTTAAGAACCAGTTCCTGAGAAACAACCGCATTCTCACACAACATACCGTGTGCTTCCTCATTCACAGAACCATTTGAAGTTCCAACCTAAAAATAAAAGTAGGGCCAGTCAATACACCAAAAGAAAGGCCCCAAGTATGGGCGAGAGGGTATATGATGGACAAATTTGGTTTAGTTACCGAAGTTAAAAGGCCATCGCTCTCTGAAAAATTTGTGACAGAATCTTGAGCAGCAACAGCATCAATTTTAGCGGGGGAATTTTTCTGGTAATGAATTAACAGATAAGTAATCAAGAAAACTGAAATAGCACTAGTCTGGTCCAAAGAGTATACTAAAAATATTTTGAATCACTTACCTCCTGAGACTGGGATGTTTTGTCACTAGTATGTCTACCAGGAAAATTTTGGGGATTACTCATGGTTGTCTCTATTACAGGAGAATCTTCACACGCTTTTAAAATAGCATTCTCATTGAACAGATTAGGCCTGTCAGCAGCTGGTGCATCTAAATTTTTCTGAATACAAGAGTCATTGTCTTTTCCAGAGTGATCTAAGGGTGACAAACATGTAAGTTCTGTTTTAGCACCTGACGGCTCATCTGATGAGGTTTTCTGTGTGTGTTCCTTCGAAGTAAGTTCAGATACAGGAGTTTCGCTGTTCATTAAGTTTTCTACTAAACTGTCACTATCTTTTTGCTGAACCTGAGCATCGATCTCACTTGAAACCTTTGGTGAATCAGCATTTATCAAAAATTTCTGATTTTCAGCAGCCAAAAAAGCATTGCCACATAACTTATTTTCCACCTGGCCATTTGGATAATCATTCAATGCATAGTTAGAAGTGGAAGAACATCTATTTCCAATAACATTTGTAGTCACATTCTCCTCCTTAGCAATGACATCAGGCTTCCTTGGAGCTACACTTTTTCTATCACGAACATAAAACAACATGTAAGCTTGCTGATTTAGAACTTCCCGTTCACTGGTATGTTTTACCTATTTGAAACAGCAAAAATAGGGTTAAAAAGATTAATTAATTTAATAACAAGGCAGAAAAAGAGCACCTAGTGTCTGGCTTTGCAAAATTATTCTTTCAGAGGACACTTAGCAATACAATAATTCACAAGTTAGCTAAGGAATCTCAGAATTTGGGTTGGGCCTAACTCGTCCCTACAAAACCGGCTTCTAAGGTGAGGGTCACCCATACTTTATAAACATTAAACAGAACATATCGCTAAGCAATGTAGGACTAATTCCACCCCTTCAAACCCAATACAATGAAGGAATTTGAGGCTGCAATTAAGGCTAGGCAAGTGCCGCAATTAGGAAACTAAGGACGGACCGCAATGTTATGTACATAAAGCACTTCTCATATCTTCTATGTATATTCAAGTTATTGGAAGGGGTCACAATTTCTAGTGAGCCACAAAAATCAGTCAAAAGAAGGGCCAATAACTCCTTATTTTTCAAAAACCAAACATTGATGCAACAATAATGTCAAACTCCATGAGGTTAACAATTAGCTATTAGGAATAGACTATAGAGGGTTCCAGAAAAGACAGTTGCCCCAACAAGATAACACAAATTGATCATGCTTGGAAGTATCTATAAATGAATGTAATAATCACACAATTCAAGACTACAAGGATCAAAGGATATTGATATTTTCAGTACCCGATTATCATCCAAGGTATACCACATGTTATTCGAAGTGCGAACATAGCAGTAATAGTGGCCAGAATGAGTGTTGTAACCAGAATGAACCAAGACCCCATACAATGAGTAATGCACACCAACATCCTGCCAACAAGAGAAACTTGAGAGTAAGAAGTGAAACATATCATAACCATATCATTAAGCGAGAAATAACTAAAAATAGACCATTGCTTACATGTGAGCCACTGACATAAGGTTCTAAATCCAGTGCAGTGCCAAACCGAACATTCTTTTTAATCTTTAGGTTAGGGTCATGTGGGTAGAATCTCTTAAGATGAATTGCTAGCACATTAGGTGCCTTACTAATCGTTAGCTGTTTGAGAGCCTTCACTTTCTGCTTGCAACGTTGACATTGATATTCTTTCTCCCCTCCATCCAAAAATTCTCCAGCTGTAAAATTAGCAAGTGCCTTTTGAACAGAATCTGCCTTGAATATTTCGAGACTTAAATCCAAAAATGGATCAAACTTGTTGGAGGAATGAGAACACTGCATGCACTTCACCTGGAAAAAGCACCCAACAAAGTTTTGAGCAGTGATGTCCATGGCGGATGGCGGAGAGCAAAAATCCCGCCATACCGGACGCTTTGTGGCGCCGTTATAGCGTATTATGGCTGAATAAACCGCAATATTAGCCAATATTCACCATTGCGATGAGCCTAAAAACAGCCATGAATATGCGCCATAGCGCTGCAATTGCGGATATTTAATAACACTGCTTTTGAGCGGTGGTCATACTATGAAGTCAAAAGATACTCTGGATCTATTAAGATTCCCAGGTTATGACCTTGATTGGTAAAACTATTTCTCATACAAATCCCACAGGATCAAGAAACAAGTACCTGACTTCGTAGACGACCACCGAAGATCTTATGAACAAAACTTTTATCAAAAGCACCAGGTGATTCGCTAGGCACTCCAGAAGGTAGGCAGCATTTATGCATCGACTCAAGTAAGTTCACCATATACTCATGTGCATCCTCTTGCCTACATTTTCGGAAATTGCGTGATATGCCTAATCTTATGTCAGGAAATACAAGTATGTGAGCAAATAAAATAGGGAGTGCTTCTTAAAAAATCAAGGTGGGGGCAGGGGAAACACAGAGGAAAAAAAACAAGAGGCATATAAACATTCTTACAACTTAGCTAACAAAATAAAGCATGTTAAATTTTGGTTCTAGATATTGTAGCCGGATTTTCGAGAAGAGTATCAACAACTTTATTTGCCTCAAAACTCACATCAGCTGTAAAATTATATGTAATGATTTTTTTTCATTCTTTTCCCTGGTTTATAGAAACTGAAAATCAGCAATATGAAAAACTCCAAAAAGATGCATTCGAACAAACCATAAGGTTTGTTAAATATAAGTAAAGAAGCGAATTCTATCCTTGTTTCTAAACAAGCTCCATGGTTACTGAAATTGTCAAATATCAAGATCTTCAGGCACAATAATGTGGATTTTGTGGTTAAAAAACATTGGTTCGAGGGAATACAATTCCAACAAAAACAATCTTCCATACCAGCATTCTCCAGGGTTCAAAGGAGTAAATGCACAGACAGCCCATATAGATAAGAAAGCGAAAATAATAGAAATACGGCCAAGATCTTATCAAATTTCAAAAACAATAAGATAAAACACAAACAAACATTAATTACTCATTAAAAAAACACAAACTTAAGGATACAGCGCAGGTTTACAACCAGATTCGCCGGTGATAATATTTTTCCAGTTGATTCCAGTGCCCTACTAACATGATTCTGTATTGCACAAAGAGCACAAAACCCAGCAATGCGACCTATAAACAAAAATAGCAAAGTAAAATTAGCAATGCGACCTATTAACAAAAATAGCAAAGTAAAATTATAAATTCTGTAGCAAAAATTTCCTCTAGTCACCCATATGAATCATTGCCATACCAATAAAGCAAAAATACAAAATCAAAACAATGTTTAACCAACTTCAATTATTTAAACACAAATCACTAACAAAATATAACCATTAACATATAACATATAATATAGCAAGTGACACAAAAGTAAATGTATAGCTCACATGAACTTTGATGATTGCCACTTTGCAGATAAGCAGCTAAAGGCTCAGTATACGTCAAACACTGCAAAACTGAATTCAGAAAACAAGTGTTTCCAAGATTATGTAGTCCAGCTCCCTGAAAAATTTTCAATAACATTTCACTTTAACCCTAAATCTAAAAGAAAAACTATCAATTCAAATTTCACTATTCCAAAACAGTTGAAACAAATTCGCATCTCAAATTTCAAAAATGCACGAGAATCAAATTTAACACTCACTATTCTGCGAGAGGTAATTCCGAAGCTGAACTCAGGATCTAAACCACACTCGTTGAATTCAGAACCATCGTGTTTCTTAGGAGCTGATTGTGAGGCATTACCGTTAACGGAAAGAACTTGTTTAAGTTCAGAGGTGTTAGGGTTTAGGGTTTCGATACGAAAATCATTGGAAAAGCCTTGGAAGGGTTTTTTAACAGGTATGAAATCGATTTTTCTCTGAAACGGATCGTATTGTTTTGGTGTTTCGGTTTCCGCAATTAGAGTTTCTGCCATTGATTTGATTCAATAGAAGGTTCTTCGATTTGGGAATTGATGAAAGTGGAAAGTGTTGAAGAGAAAAAGTGAAAGAAACAGAGCATAGCAAAACAGAAACGGCGAAGGGTTTCTTCGGCTTCTGCGGAAGAGAAGTAATAAGTGAAGGGTGGCTGCTATTAAACCCTACACTACTACACTGCCAGCTCAACGAAAAAATCGACACTGGTTTTTTCTCTCTCCTAATATTTATCTATTGGGCCTGGCCCGGAACCGGCCCATAGTTCTTATGTGGTTGTTTTGATAACTTGGTCTTTTATGATCTTTTTGTTGGCACTGTTATTCATACACCTATATTTTATTTTTTCACGTCCCTTTCTCATAAATTTTTGAGGAAATTAAAAAAACTACATAAGATACGATATCAATGAGTTAAGATCTAACCCAAAATAACCATAATTAGTGAGAAAATATACAACATGGCATACATCAAAGCACGATTTCATGTTGGACAATGACACCAAAATTGTATGGTTCCTCAAGATCGAGATTGACAACTAATTATGGGTCTAAAGGATTAGCGGAGTCAAATATATAGATATCAAATTTAACAAATCTTTATCCGCTAGACAATTGATAAGTGACAGATTTACGTGAAATAAATATATTGACACTTATTTACTTATTTCATAAGTAATCATCACAAAACTCCTCATTTATCTATGAGAGATAAAGAAACATTTGTTTGGACTTTTATTGTATGCATTTATCAAAAGCAGTTGAAAAGGACTAGAAAACCATGAATTAGAACGTAAAAACAGACAAAAGGAAACCTTGAAAGATCAAAGTCCATTGGGTTCCATCTACACTCGTGTTGGATGCAATATAACGCTACGCGGCGACACATGGTGCAACTACTTCATGGTGAAGTAAGTGTTAATGTGATATGTGAATGAGTGGTGCACTAAGCGAGTAAAGGCAACCAAGGACACGTGGAAGGAATGTAAGTGTTGCTTTTTGTAGAAGAAAGCAGGCTTGTTTGAAGGGTCAGGACAAGGTAGGCGAGTAAATGAGACCAGAGACACGTGGAAGACATGCAAGCATTGCTCGTTGAAGGAGATAGCAAATTAGCCAAGGTGTCAGAACAGGGTATGCATGTTAGGTAAGAGAATTGTGTGTCGAGCGTGAGGCTCATAACTTTTCCTATAAATAGAAGTTTTTAGTTCAGTGTAAATGGAGTTTTGATGGATTAGGGGAGTACAAAATTGAAGTATGTTCACTCTGGTCTATAATAATAGGAGAAGAAAGGAATTCTGAAAATGGAAGTACTGCACAAGAGATAGGGAAAATCCCATTTATGAAGTCGACGTCTCTATAAAGACCAATTGTTACACTAACCATATGTAAGCATAACTATGATTTCTATGTTAGGGTTACATGTAGTCATTATATTCATTTACTAAATATATCATGGTGTTCTATGTAAATTTACTCATGTTGTAATATTGGTGACTCTTCAATCTCAATGATTATTTTAGTTTTGTAACCTAAAACTTGTTTTCATTGTCTGACATGACATCAAAAGATGCTTATCATCACTAGATCCAAGATAATCACATATTGAGTACTAAGCCTGGACATGGGCATGGGCTTAATAACCACACACATTGTAGCAGGATAGGTGTGAAGTATCACTCATTTGCAATTGTTGGGACTTAATCACTATGCCAAAAGTGATTTTTAACAGTGCACATTAGACAACACTTTTGTACAAAAGTGCTGCTATAAGTGAATTAAAAAAAAACACGGAAACTGTATAAAATAATTAGTAAAAGTGTTGCTAAACATATGACCTTAGACAACGCTTTTAAAAAGCGCTGCTAAAGGATTGCTTTAGAAAGCGCTTTATCATAAGCGCTGATAAAGGTCCACTTTAGACAACGCTTTAAGAAAGCGTTATCTAAAGTCATAAAAAATTAAAAAAAATATATTAGAAAAGCGCTGCTAAAGGACACTATTAGCCAGCGCTTTTCAAAAGCGTTGCTATAGGTCCATATTAGCCAGCGCTTTTAGAAAGCGCTGTCTAAACCCTTATAAGTGAAAATTAAAAAAAAAAATAGAATCTGTGTATTCACAGATTCACGAATACAGAAGCTAGTGAAACCCTTTCCCTCCTTCAACAGTGAGCGAAACCCATTTCCTCCTCCGTCTCAAATCCTTCGTCGTCGTACACCGTCATACACTGTCTCGCTCGGTTTTCCTCCACCCACACCGGCCGGTTCTCAAGGTATGTTCTTTATTGAAAATGTTTTTATCTCCATTGATGTCCAAACTGGGTTATCCTCCTTGATAATGTACTATGCTAACATCTAAGATATTATTCTCCTATTGATGTCTAAATTGGGTTCTATGTATGCATTTTAATTTTTGGGTTCTTGGTAGGGCTTGATATATAACAGCAACACTTTTAGCATTTAGCATTATTGCATTTTATTTTGGTTCTATGTTTTGGAATAAAAAAGATGATATATATGATGGGTTTTTTTGTTATTTTAATTGGTTTCTGAATTGTTTATCATATTTATATTTTCCATAAACTAGTATTTTGTTACTGGTATATATATATATATATATATATATATATATATATATATATATATATATATATATATATATATATATATATATATATATATATATATATATATATATATATACAACTTGTTTTTGATGATCCTTTTGTATTGTTGTAGTTAGTCGAAGACCATCACCGATTCGAAGAACATCAAAGCCGCATCATCCACTATTGACACCAATAGCCCTTTTTTCTTTCTTTGGTAAGTCAAGTTTAAATTCTATCTGTATCGATCAATTAAAAAACACAATTATTTTTATATAGATATATTTATTTTTAGTCCATGTTATTAACTCTAGAAATAAATTTCTAGAAATAATTCGTTTAATTCAAATAAAAAGAGAATAATTCGTTTATAGTGTTTTTGTTTACTTGAATAAGTAGAAAAATTGGATAAAAAATGGATGTTTATCGATCGATTGTCACAAGAGTACGAGAATGGGGTATTGGAATTCGTTAAGTTTGTTGTTGAACACACCAAAGACCCCAGTCGAATGAAGTGTCCTTGCATGGGTTGTTGTTATGTGGGACGGGTTAACGCAGATGGATTGAAATTGCATTTACTAATGCGTGGAATTGATAGAAGTTATATGTGTTTGATATTTCACGGTGAAAAAAGTAACGACAACGTTGAACCGGGGGAGAAAAGTAGTACGGCCTATGCTTCAGACGAAAATGACACAGATACATATGATTTTGATCGAGTTGAAGAGATTGCAGATGCACTTGAAGAAGATCTTCAGGATTGTACCAAAATGTTTGAGAGATTGGTAAGCGATGCAGAGAAACCGTTGTATAAAGGGTGCACTAAATTCACAAGACTGTCTGCGGTATTAAAGTTGTACAACTTAAAGGCGGGCAATGGATAGTCAGATAAAAGTTTCAGAGTTATTAGCCCTTATGAGAGATATGCTTCTGGAGGATAATGTTCTTCCTAATCGAACCTATGAGGCCAAAAAAATGTTGTGCTCTATTGGCATGAGCTATGATAAGATACATACTTGTCCAAACGATTGTGTTTTGTTTCGAAACGAATATGCGTCGTTAAATGAGTGCCCTAAATGCGGTTTGTCTCGATATAAGAAAAAATTGTCTCCAGGAAAAGTCTTATGGTATTTTCCTATAATTCCGAGATTTAGGCGAATGTTTCATAGTGAAACCGATGCAAGACACCTTACTTGGCATGCAGATGAAAGAATTATTGATGGAAAATATCGACATCCGGCAAATTCACCACAGTGGTCGAAAATTGATAATGATTATCCTGATTTTGAAGAAGAGGCAAGAAACCTTCGGTTGGCTTTATCTACTGATGGAATGAACCCGCATGGTCTTCAAAGTATCTCACATACCATATGGCCTGTGATTCTTATGATTTATAAACTACCTCCATGGCTATGTATAAAGCGTAAGTACATGATGTTATCTATGTTAATATTTGGGCCTAAACAACCAGTGAATGACATAGACGTATACTTGACACCTTTGATCGAAGATTTAAAGATTTTGTGGGAGAACAGGGTGGAGGTTTATGATGGTTATAGGAAACAAATTTTCAATTTGAGGGTGATGTTGTTTGGCACAGTTAATTATTTTCTAGCATACAAGAATCTATCTGGGTATAGCATTAAAGGTCAACGTGTGTGTCATGTTTGTGAAGATGGAACTGATACGACGCGTTTGGAACTTTGTCAGAAGAATGTGTTTCTCGGTCATCGTAGATTCTTACATTTTAAACATCATTATCATGCATGGAGAAAAGCATTCGATGGAGACACCGAACAACGTAAAGCTCCACCTGCATTGTCAGGTGACCAAATTTTTGAAAAGGTGAAAGATGTGTGTACTCAGTTTGGCAAGCCTTTTGCGCATACGGTTGTCAAAGGTGGGTGGAAGAAGAGATCGATTTTTTTTGAATTTCCATATTGGAAGTCTCTGTATGTGATACATTTTCTCGATGTTATGCATATTAAAAAAAATGTATTTGAAAGTGTTATTGGTATGTTACTCAATATTAAAGGAAAGTCTAAGGATGGCCTTAAAGCAAGGGAGGACATGTTAAAGATGGGAATACGAACTGAACTAGGACCCGTGAAGAAAGGAAGTCGAACATATCTACCACCTGCTGCTTTTACTCTATCTATAAAGGAGAAAAAGATATTGTGTAAGTTTCTAAGTGAAGTTAAAGTTCCAGAAGGATACTCTTCAGATATTAGAAGACTTGTGTCTATGAAAGACCTCAAGTTAAAGAGTTTAAAGACACATGATTGCCATGTTATAATGGAGCATTTTCTACCAATAGGTATACGTTCTATTTTGCTAGATAAAGTAAGGAGTGCGATAACTAAGTTGTGTTTTTTCTTTAGGTTAATTTGTAGCAAGGTGA